TGTGGGCTTGGAAAGCAGTGGAGGATGGCCCAAAGCCTTGGGACCCTGCACCCATATAGGAGACCTGGAGGAACTCTGTTTTCCTGGCTTCGGATTGGCTCAGCTGCAGTCGTTGCACTCACTTGGATAGTGAACCATCGAACAGAAGATCTTCCTCTCTGTATATCTGCCTTTCCAATAAAAATAAATAAATCTTTAAAAAAGCATAAACCAAAGATACAGAGTAGGCTCTCTAACTCACCAAGACAACACTCAAGAAGTTTATGCTCACTAGGACTCCTCTTTGGTCTGGAACTGTTTACTATATCTTGACAATAGGATGCTGGACTCTGCCATTGTCCATGCCCGCAATGATGGACATATGACTGTGTATGAAGAACTATACTATAGTAATGATATAGGGGAATTCAGTGAGGGGGGAGGGAGTTGGGGAGGAGATGGGGGAAATCCCAGGGCCTATGGAACTGTATCATAAAATTATAATAATAATAAAAAAAGTAAATAATTAAAAAGTTCATCCTTTTTTGGAAAACCACAATGTTCCCTCATTTAAAAAATAATAACAATAATAATAATAATATTTACCTCATGATTGCATTGTGAGAATTTGTAAATATGCAACTGTACATAATTATAAATAAATACGTGAGTATATGAATAGTGGTTTAAAATGTTCTCAGAATACAGGAAATGTTCTATAGTGTTAGCTATTGTTTTAAGATCAGAATTTTAAAAATTATTAGTTTTATACAAAAAGGTAAGATTCAGATCATAGTATTCATACAAATCAAGATAGGTATAATTATTAGATCTTTTATGAATCTGTTGTTTTAGACTATTTGTGCTACTATAACATGATATCTGAAGCTGGCTGGCTGATTTTCAAATAATTTGTTTTTTGTAGATCTGAAGGCTGGGGCATCCAAGACCAAGGATCCAGCAGGTGCTGTGTCTGATGAAGCCTGCCCTCGCTGCCCTCTATTTAAAAGATGAATCTTTGTGCTGAGCCCTCACACAGCGGAAGGGCAGGGGCGGGTTAGTGGAGGTGAATGCTGTGTCCTCATGCAGGAGAGTGGAAGATAACGAACTCACCTCAAGCCCCTTGATAGGGGCTGAATTCCATTCCCCAGTACTCCGCCCTCACGGATCAATTACAACCCAAATATCCTGCTTCTTACCACTATCACATTGATGGTGATTAAGTTTCTTTCTTTTTTTTTTTTTTAAAGGTTTAGTTATTATTATTACAAAGTCAGAAATACAGAAAGGAGGAGAGACAGAGAGGAAGATCTTCTGTCTGATGATTCACTCCCCACGTGACTGCAACAGTTAGAGCTGCGTCAGTCCAAAGCCAGGAGCCAGGAGCTCTTCTGGGTCTCCAACGTGGGCGCAGGGTCCCAAGGCTTTGGGTCGTCCTCCACTGCTTTCCCAGGCCACAAGCATGGAGCTGGATGGGAAGAGTGGCTGGGATTAGAATCGGCGCCCATATGAGATCCCAGCGCATGCAAGGCGAGGACTTTAACCATTACGTTATCGCACTGAGCCTGGTGATTAAGTTTCAACACATGAATGATGATATTTAAAATTATCTGGAAGACCACTCACACAAACCTTAACAAGAGCTGAGTATGATGAAAGTGGGAAAAGAATGGAAATAAAGAGCAGCCATTTAAAAAAGCTTTTGTTTCATCTGTCGCCTATTCATTTCTTTAAGAGAAATGATTGTAAGCGAACAATAATATAACGTACAAACTTGTATATAGTTTGAAACATTTGTCAGAAAGAAAGAAGGGAAGATGTGAGGCTGTTTCCTGCGTGTGCTTCTCGCTGGCGTGGGGTGAAGCACTCGGAAACGATCAGGGAGATGATTAGTGAGTAAACACCTGTTCCATGTTGGCTAATTTGTCTTGGAGGTCCTCAGCAGGTAAGTTACAGAGTGCATCTTGATAAATACATTGCTAATCATAGTGGAGGAAATATATTAATGATTTGTTTAAGAAACTGAGTTTAAAAAGAGTCAAAGCAGATGCGTGTGCAAGAGACCATTTCATTTGATAAAGAGTCTGTCTCCATAGCTAGCTAACTCCTGCCTTGTCTGTACTGGTACTTTGGAGTCCTGACTCGGTGGGATTCTCCAGGACACAAAGGTCCCTCTTGAGAGCAGCCTCATAAGTCTTCCTCTGTGTTCTTAGTTACCCCTCTACCCTTCTTTTTGCCCTCTGTGAAGAGGTGGAAATCACTCAGGTGTGGTGGCGGTTATCCTGTTTGCTCTTGCAGCTTTCCCCCATTTTTTTTTAAATACATTTTAGAGGTATGTGGAAGGCAAAGAAAAATGTTAGATGTAAAATTTATTTCATAAGGGTGTGTTCTGTTCATACTGGGTTAAACACATGGCATGGAAATCTACCTGCTAATTATTCATGTTGTAGAGCAGAGCCCTAGGGGTTGTCACCTCCCATAGCTACACCTTCATTCCCGTTGAAATTAACCTCTCAATTTGTCCTCCTGCCATCCCACCATTTTACTTTTTCCTTCTAGAATGTGCTCTTTGTACATCTCTCTGGCTAGCTCATCCTTAGGAAGCTAAAATGTGTTAGATTTAATATTTATTTCTGTTGAAGTTTCCATTTTTAGTCTTAGAGCATCCTTTTAGGATAATTTTAATTGATGCAAAGTCCTTCACATGAACTCTTCTGCAACAATCAGAAATCTGCTTTGATTTTTCAGCCCTGAGCAAGACAGCCACTTTCATTGTCTGCATTGAATGTAGCTGTTTTGTGTTTTTGGGTATCAAACACTGGCTTGGGCTTTTATCCAAGGTCTTCTTTGCCAGATTTATATTCTCACTATTAGATTCAGTAGTCAATAACAGCATTTATGTCTCAAAAGAAACATGATGAATTGATGTTCTGAGGTTTACATAACAATAAAAGACAAAGCCTGAACTGCTGTATTTAAAGCAAAATATATTTATAAGTGTATTCTCCATCAACCTAACATTATGCTTGCTACTAGGAGTGTAAAAGTGAAGAATGAGAAACAACGAGGCTTTGAATACTTTTTATTATTATGTATCCGAAAGATGGAAAGGCAGACACAGAGACAGGCAGAGCGCCCATCTTCTGACTCACTCTCCAAATGCCACAATAGCCAGTTTGGGCCAGGGACAAAGCTGACAGCCAAGAATGGAATCCATGTCTCCCATGTGGGTGCCAACAAGACTGATTGCTGGGACCATCACTGCCGCCTCCCTAGGCATGCAGACCAAGGAACGCACTAGCAGGACGCTCAAATGAGGAACTAAAGCTCTATTTTTTAAAAAAATTTATTTATTTTCATTGGAAAGGTAGACTTACAGAGAAAAGTATAAACAGCAAGATCTTCCATCTGCTGGTTTGCTCCTCCGATGGCTGCTAGAGCTGGAACTAAGCCAATAAAAGCCAGGAGCTAAGAACTTTGCTCAAGTCTCCCACGAAGGTGCAGGGTCTCAAAGGCTTTGGGCCATTTCCCACCTCCTGATCAGGTCATAAGCAGGGAGATGGGTGGGAAATGGAGCAGCCGGATGCAGATCTGTGCCTGTTTGAGATGTTGGTGCTTTGAGATGGAGGATTAGCCAGTTAAACCAATCACACCAGACACAGGGAGCTAAAATGCAGAAATGAACACAGGCACTGCCATGTGGAACACAGGTGTCTTGGTTACTGGGATAAATGCCTACCCCCTCAGGTGGCTTGTTTTATAACCTATAATAAGAAATGCAGTTTACCTAATGACCCTGCGCATGTGCAAACACATATCTATATGACTAAAGGTAAAATTTTAGAAAATGATCTATTTTGTATGTACTTGTACTTGGAGTATTTGTCCATTTTATTTACATAATTGCAAACATTGGCTCATAATATGTTGAATTAACCCCTGAAGCTCATACCTGTTCTTGACTGACAGTTTGAATCAAAGAGTGTATGGGGAAAGGGTCATTTAAAGACAAATGTTTTCAAATAACAAGGAAATTATGGGAATGATTTTAAATTCTAAATGCAGACGTTTTCTCACACCTTATTCAATGCTACGTATCCTGAGCATGGAATCTTATATTAACATTTAAGTATCAATTTACCAGCACTCCAGTCCCCCTAGGATGAGACATAACTTAGGCAGAGATACTCCGTGAATGATAATGACAGGATACAAGAAAAAAGTTGCTGAGGAAGGGAAGACAAGCATAGCCTAGATGGATGTGAGAATGAAAGGATGGGATGTGGATCCCAGGAATAGCCTAACTTAGCCATCAAAGTAAAAAATAACCAGAAGACCACTTACAGAATTGAAAAGGTTTGTGGATCATACCTTATGGCTAGACTCATCTGTTATTTTCCCTCTTTCACCATGCTTGAACTTTATTAAGGTTTTAATGGATGACCTTGCAGGTCTTTTCCTAATACCTTCACACATACAGAAATTCATAAACCTTACTCCTACGTGTTTTGATTTATGTGAGCAGTCATTTCTTTACTCAGCTCCAGAACGTCATGCTGGCTGCTCCTTGGAGGCTCAAGGCATCCGGGGCTGTCTACACCTCTCCCTCCCATTGTTTCCATATAACATGTTCTTGGGTCATGAGAGCAGGGGTCGCTCTTTGAATCCCTAACACCCAGTAGGTGTCTGGTACAAGGTAGGTACTCACATACGCATTGTATAAATCCCGTTTCCTCCCCCCGCAAAAGTCTTTGATGTTTTAGAGTTTTTTTCCAACTCTTCCTTGTGGCTGGTCTCAGATTAGGACTTCCAACATGATTGAGCTGTCCTGGACAATGCAGCAACAGCAGGCAGTGATAAGCAGTTGAAAGCCTGATGTTCCAGCTGGGACTGCAACAGGGGAAGATTCCAGCCTCCCTCTTATGCCCCAAACAGTGGCTCTGCAGCCTGCAATTTCCTGCCTGGCTCTGGATTGGTCCAGAAGGGACAGCCTGCTGGGAAAGATCCTCTATATATTTGTGAGACAGTTTTAAAGTTTCCAGAGACTTGTTCTGCTGTTAAGAAGTTGTGCTCAAAGCCGAGGAGCCAAGACACTTGCCAAAATGTGCAAAGGACTTGCAGCTTTGCCCCACTCATGCCTGGAAAGGTGAGAATAAAGTTATTTTGGTTTAAAAGATGCAGAGAGCGCTCCGGGGAGCATGCCAGCGTCAGTAGAAGCTGTTTAGTTTGTAGCTAAACTGAAGTGAAACAGGTGCATTTTGTCTGTAGCCTGGGAATTGTCTGTTTTTGTTTTACAACAGAGAATTTGAAAGATTTGAGCTGAGGACTGACACAATATGGGATATTTAATACACATTTTCTTCAAGGAGATGCTTTCTAGCTGCTTATTCAGAGTGGAATACAAATACATCATTAAGAATGTAGATTCCAACATCAAACTGTCTGGGTTTGACTCCTGGCTCCCCTGTTTTTTGTACATGTGGTTCGGAACAATTTATCTGAACTCTCTGTATCTCAGATTTCTTTTTTTAACTGCAAGGTGGAAATATTAAGAGTGTATGTCAATACCAGCTGGTTAAAGATCAAATAAATTCTTGTAAACAAAATGCCCAGAATAGTGTCTGGCACAGAGTAGAGCTAAATAAATATTAGCTGATGTACAGGGAATAGGAAGAGAGGACAGGTTTGCACTGTCAGAAAATTTCTCATTGTTTCTTGTTACCATGACCTCATTAGATAAAAGGACGGTGGGACCTAGGGTTATTTTTATCTAGCATTCTAAGAATCATTCTACAATGAGCAACACTTTTGTGACTCCCTGGTTGTCTTCAGGTTGGTCAGTGTTGTGGACAATGAAAAAGAAAGAATAAATATCTGATTTGTGAGAAATTCATTATCTGATGCACAGAACTGAAAGCGTTTCTCTCCCTGTTAGAAACTGATTGATTTGATTCCATTTGATTTGATCTCTTCTTGCTAAAAAAATAAATGAAAGTGAGCCTTGCCCAGTCTGTTTCTATCGCTAAGCAATGACTGTCCTCATCTAAGAGAGCTGTGTTGTTTAGTGATCCTCATGTTTTCCGTCCTTTTAGAAACTCGGGTTTCTTTTTGATGATGTCTCTCCTAGAAAAAAAATCCTAGGATGTTTTTCAGGAGCTACTGTTGTAATTGTTTCTAATGACACTGTTGGTGACTAAAAAGGAAGCCTGTGAGGGACCTTATTCCTTCCTGTCAAAAGCATAAATCATTTTGATTTTTTTTGTTTTTCCTTTATTCGAGAGCAGATATAGACATACCTGCATCTATGTGTAGGTCTAAGTATGTAAGGTGAGAGCACTCCCATCTACAGGTTCATTCCCCAGATGTTCAGAATGGCCAGAGGCTGGGCATTGCCGGAGACAGCAAGCAGGAAGCCAGCTGCTGTGCCATGATTACCATGCCCTACCAATGTATGCATTGGCAGTACATAGACTGAGACAGTAAAACTGGGAACTCAACCCAGGCACTGTCGTATGGGGTGCAGGTATCTCAACACCAAGACTAATTCTCATTCCCGTACAAACCTGTGACTGGATTGTCCTTGGCCCAGCCTTGGGGACTAGCACTGGGTTTAATGCTGGGCTCTATATATTGATATTGCCCTATCCTTCCCTCTGAAAATTAGGGGTAGACGGAAACTAAAGAGAACTGGAAGTGACCTGAAGTTCTTTAAATAAGATGATGAATTCCTTTTTTCAGATTTGCAACCGTAAGAATCACAAATTGCTCAACCTTAATGGATGTTTTTGGTTCACTTGTCCACACACTCTCGTACAGTAGATAAATTCTACATTATTAATTGGCGTACAATTGGTTCTAGAATGATTCTAACATTAGTCTTCCCATAATTTTGTGGCTCTGTGACACCTGGTTTTGTATTTAGTGTGTAATTAATGAAAAAAGGCATGAGATTTTGGCAGGGTAACTAATTTTGCCCTTACAAATTCTTGTAAATATGCATAATGTTTACAGGGACATCTAAATGGAACATTCTTTCAATGACTATTATTATTATTTCATACCTGATTCACTATCAACCTCAATATTGAATTTTACGTATCTTTTAATGCACAGTCAATTCTTACTCTTCAGAATAAAGCCAATGTTTATGTGGGGTTTTAAAAGTGGTGATAGAGCAAGTTTTGGTGTGTGTGTTAACATGAATTGAACCTTTTAATTTTCTGTAAAGTGATAATGTCCTGCAATTATTGAATGTGATTATCTTTTACATTAACCGCTACCATATTTTGTATTACAATAGAACCTAGGAACTTTTTTTTTTTAGAGAAAGGGAAGTGTGATGTTGTGACACTGCCACAGTATACCAATAGAAGGAACAAAAAGTACTCGAATGTTCTCAAGCCTGATTCTATGTTTCCACGCTAGTTCTCAACTCTCTCGCTTGCACAGGTTCCTAACCTGTTCAGTTCTTCTCTCAGATCTCCAAAAGGAATATGGAATGCTTCAGTGCTTAAAGAGATTCCAACAACCACATAGAAAACATTAGGGCAGCATGCATGCATTAGAAAGCAAATGTGTTTCGAATGCAAAGCTCAACTAAAGAGTTCAATTAGAACTTTAAAAAGAAAGACTTAACAAGTTTTTATTTAAAAGGAGAGAAGAAAAAGAGAGAGAGAGAGATCTTCCATTTGCTGGTCACTCCCCTGATGGCCACAATGGTTTGAGCTGAGCAGACCCAAAGCCAAGAGCCTGGAACTTCTTCCAGGCCTCACACATGTAGAGGCCCAAAAACTTGGTCCATCTTCTGTAGCTTTTCCTGGCACATGAGCGGAGAGCTGTATCAGAAGTAGAGCAGAGGGGATTCAAAATAGTACTCCTGTGGGAGCCCACACAGCAGGTAGAGATTTAATCTCCTATGCCATCGTGCTGGCCCCAAATTACAATCTTTACATTACATTAGAAATAGAATTCAGTTATCAAAAATATGGCTAACATACTGTCATTGAGCACAAGGAAAGTACGTTGGTTAGGAGGAAGAGCAGAGCATCCCTGAGCAAGCTATTTCTTCCTAAGGCCCTCAAATGAAATAAGCAAACTTTGGTTTAGTCATTCTCTAATGATCCTTTCTAGTTCTAACACGGTATGAATGAAGTGCAAGATACTCGGGTTTCAGGGAGAGATGTCACAAAGGGGAATTTTTCCTCATTTTTTTTCCTATGAAAGTTTCAAGGCAGAAAATATTTCAACCATGAACGCCAACAAAGATCTAACCCTGGACTGGAACCTCTGAGTGGAAACAAACCACTCAGTGATTCTAACACTGGTTTACAGGAAAGCGTAGTTTAGTTCTTGCAAGGGGGAACTTCAATATTCTTTCGCTAATGTCTAGGGAAACATTATGTTAGCATCAGCTTTGGCATAGTTACAGATCCTTGTCTTTATTTATTTAGATTTTTAGGACTATTTTTCATTACAATTCAAACTAGTTCTCATTTTTTAAAATATTCATGAAGACCAATAATTTAGACGTTTAAGGATAACTGGTCGCCTCCATGCAAGTACCACAGAGCTTGGGTTTCTGGTTGGAGGCACAAAATGAAAGTGTTGAGTCAACGGAACACCTTATTTTTACATGTGTGTTTCAATTTTAAATTTCAAGATTCTGTTTAAAATAGATTTTATTTTCAGTGTCCTTGAAATTTCATTAGGCGAGTTGAATGCTTGGGTACATATTGCTTTTTTGGGAAAAGTTAGAAGTAGTCTCAAATTTTAAAAAATACATTATGATTCCCTAAAAGTTTTTCCACATGATATCCAGCACCCAGTGTGGTGGTTCTATTTTTGTTCATGGGTGTTGACTAGTTTTAGTACCAGGTTCCTAATCTGGAATAAACTAACAAAGGCAGTTAAAGCAGTACTAAGACTCAGCTGCTGACAGTGCGTGTCAGCGGTTTAATAGCAAAGTGTCACAAGCCCCGTGCTGCTGTTGGTGTCTGGAGTAGGTCTGGCTCTGCTTAGGACTGTTAAGGCTGCTAAGGGTATAACATGTTTAATCTACAGTTTATTTGTGGTTTTCCGGTCTGTAAATATTTATGAAAGCTGAGGACTTCAGGGATTATAGAAAGCAAATGTGAAAGATAATCTTTATGATGTATTACATTTGTTTTTTAAATATTTTTATCTGAAAATGTCTCCTTAACGTTCAAACTCCCCTGCCACCCTGCTCACGAGTATTCTCTAACTTAAGTGGATCAGTTGTGGACAATCTGAGTAGAAACTAAACAAGGTCAATAATCAGCCCAACTTCTTTTCAAAATTGTTAAATCTTTGGAAACAGAATGGACCAAGGTTCCTGAGTCTATCATTTGGTCCATTGCAGAGAACAGATAAACGGCAAATGAATTAAAGACTGTGTGATGAGCAACTGGAACCAGCAATGGTTCAATCAGAATGAATACAGCTGACGCTAAACATGAGCATAGATCGTTGGCTGAGGCTCTAGCTGGAGGCTTGCTGGAAATAAGCGGGGATTTAAGGCTCAGTATCATAGTCCAGCATCTGAAACACTTTCAGTGTAATATTATGGTGTTAAGAAAGTAAGTGAGCTAAATGATAAAATTTAAAGGAGGGTAACTATGAAAATCTTTTGGGTTCTTTATTGCTTATTTCTCTGGGTTACTTTTCAGATCTGTGTCTGTGACACCTACAACTGACAGTGTTTGCCCTGTTCCCAAGGAAATGATAGAGCAGTTTGGGAAGTAAGCAAGAGGGGGAAAAAATGAACATTCGGTATTGCCATCCTCTATGATGAAATAAATGCATGGAATGATAAGACTGGAGTGACAAGAAATATATGATCTGGGAGAGTGACTGGGGCTCAACAGGCTTTTGGTAGTGAAGCCAGGCATTGGAAGATGTTGTCAAGATTGATGCTTGAACTGAGTCCTCTGGGACAGAGGAGTTAGAAGAGGAGAGATAAGGAAGAGATTCTTGGCCAAGGAAATAGGTCTGCATGTGTGAAGACAGGGAGGTGAGAGAGAAGTCTGGCTGTGGTTAAGACTTCTAAGTGGATCTCCCTGAACTCAAAACCTCTGAGTTTTCAACCACAGTTGATCTACTGGGTTGTCAGTCTTACCTAAGGTCCCC